AAGGTCTTGTGCAGCAGATTTTCTTGACTGGTGCTTCCGTGAGTGTTGATAGTTGATCCAAGAAGATTGAAGTCCTTGACAACTTCAATCTTTTCACTGTTGATAAGAATGTCCAGTGGTGAGGATTGTATAGTGGATTACAAATTGGGCTGGTAATCCCACTCCGAGGGAAAAAGATGAGACTGTCTGCTCCCTTAAAGACTGACAGCCTCAGAAACACTGTAACAGGGTCTCTCTATGAGTCAGAACTGACTCCATGTCACAGAACCACCACCACCAGGTGGGTACAACTAGGAGCTCCATTTTTTTATTTTTGGTCAGTTATGTTAATTTATTTTATTTTCAATGTTTTGTTGTGAATTATGTGATAGTATACATGGGAGAACATTGGTTTTACATTCATTCTATCTATATCCTCTCATTGCCATGGTTACAATCCCCTCCATGCAATACCCCCCAGGTCTTCAGCACACAGTCGCTCTCCCTCTCTGGATCTAAAGTCTCCAGCTGCTCCATTGCTCCACGTCATCATCTCTGGCTCCATTTCAGGCATCACTGCTTCTCTGGGTAGGGTCCCGCTCTCTGCTTTTCTCCCTTGATAGTCCTAGGGACCTCCACTAGGAGCTCCATTTTACAGGCAAACAAACTGAGGCTCAAAGTTTGTTCGAGAAAGAAGATAAAGAAGAAGGACCCAGGATGTTTTAGACCAAAGGTTGCACAGCCAGGCTCCCCCTTCATTACGCTGTGGGAACACTTAGAACCTGACTCTTGAATGGCAGCATCCTCAGTGCGGAAGAGCTGGGGATGTCTTCTGAGGCATCTGGACTTCCCCAAAAGGGTCTTCAGTTGCCTGGTCTCCAGGTGGGACCTGGAACCAGCATTTTACAAAATTCTTCAGGTGAATCTGATGCTCACTATCTGATATTTGGTAATGTTCCAGTTTCTACCCCTGCTGGGGAAACCCTGGAGTAGGGCCTTGAAAGGGAAGCTGGTGGAAGACAGACTTAATCCCCTTAAAGGCGGGTCTCCCTACATGACCACCAGGGGGCGCATGGAAAGCTCAGCTCACTCCCCTTTTGCTCAGAGCCCTCTGGTGTGTCTCCTGTCTCGCTCACCAGGCCCTGCACCTTTTGGACCAGATTATCCGTTTCCACCTCTCTTCATACTCCCTGAAACCATTGATAACTATTGACACCAGGGTACCTAACAACACCCCGGCTGTCTCCAGCCACACTTACCTCTACCTGCAGAGAAGACCAGCTCACTTGGTCTATTGTTTTTATACTTTCTGTGCCTCCTGCTTACCTCATTGCAGAGCCAGCTGAAAGCCACTTTCTCAGGCCATCCCTCACCCCATCCTTTAAGAGGAGCCTGTGTGAGTCCAGTTCGAGCTTCTGAGGCCATCCTCATTGTCCTGTGCTTTTCTTCTATTATGTCTGTCACCATCTGAAGCCATCTGGTCGATTTGCTTCTCACCTGTTTCTTCCTGCTTGTCCCTTAACCCCACAAGGGTTTGGATTCACACTGTCCATGGCTGTATCCCCATGCCAAGGTCCAGAATGGGGCCCAATACATAAGTGCTTAGTAGCAACAGTTCTTGGTGCTGTAGGATAAGCACTGAACTGCAAGGTCAATTTGAACTACAAGGTCGGGATAAAAGTCACCAGCCATTCCTTAGGAAACCCTATACAAGGTCATTATGAGTCAGAATCAACTGGATGGAACTTAACTACATGCCAGAGTGTAGTGCTGTAGGATAAGCACTGGACAATGGTGTCTAACCACAAGGCTGGCAGTTCAAACCCACCAACTGTTCTTGGAAACCCTATACAGGGTTGCTATAAGTTGGAACCAACGTAATGGCCTATAACAGCTACAGCAGCAACAACTATAAGCTAGTGTGCCTGGGTGGTGCAAATGGTTAAACATTTAACCTCAGAGGTTTGAATCTACCCAGATGTGCCTCAGAAGAAAAGCCTGATGACCTGCTTCCCAAAATATCAGCCACTGAAAATATTATGGAGCACAGTTCTGCTCTGAGACACACAGGGCCGTAAGCCCTGGTGGACGGGTCATGGTTCTATGTACCAGACAGCACTTTGCGTGTACTGACCCGTTTAATAGTCAGGTGACCCACTGTCTAAGGGAATTTGCAGAGCAGGGATCTGAAACAGAGAGAGGTGAATTGCTAGCCAAGACTGGAAACCAGTTCCCAACTCAACCAGTCTGGTTTTCTGCCTCCTCACAAAGGCATCCCCCGACACTGGAGGGTTTTAGGTAAAACCCTCTCCTTCCTCTGAAGGCAGAGCTGGGACTTTAGCCCCTTGTCCTTCCTTGGGTGTCTGTGCTGCTCACATACAGCAGTCCTATGTGACGATCTTGGCCCCTGGAGGTGGAGTGAATTGTATAGGGTGCCAGCCTGGAGGACCCAAAATGGGACCCCGAGTGCCTTCTCCGTTCTCGCCTCAGCCTAGCCTCTTGGCCCTAGCTCTGTACTTACTTGTAGCCCACATCACACCACTCATTCTGCATCTGGTAATGCTGCACGTTCCGAGCTTGCTGCTGGCACAAGGCAGGGCTGTCGCAGGTACTGCCCGCTGTGTGCGACACGACCACATAGCGCACGGGCAGTTTCAGCTTTTGCTTACACTGGGATGCCGTGGCCTTCCACTCGCTCCGGGGCACGATGGTACCACAGCAGGCCTTGGTATTCTGCGCTGCCGCCAGTGTGAAGAGGCTGAAGAGGGCCCAGGTGAGCATTGCACAGCAGTGGGACATTGTGGGCAAGGTTCTCAAGGATGACTAGAAGCATGCTGGTACAAGGCAGGCCCGGCAGCCTTTATCTACCTTATGGAGGTGGGGAGGGACTTGCATCATACCCTAGTGGGCTGCACGGGACCCCAAACTCAACTTCCTCCTCTAGTAGGGAAGGAACAGGATGCAATATCCGGGGGTGGGATGCAGGGGCCCACATACCCAATATGGGAGTACGGGTGGGGAGGGGTTTGTGCCCTTTGCCTTGTGATTTCTGGAAGACCCACCCTTATATTGTCTTTCCTCTTAGTGGGGTACTGGACAATTACCAGGACACCATAGAGAGAGAGGCCCAGGCCCAGGTGTGGGGACATCATCTCTCCCCTGCAGGGACTGAGGTGATAAGGGCTTCCTTTTTTAAAAAGTTTTTATTGTGAATTGCATGATAGTTTACATGGGGAAACATCAGTTTTACATTCATCCTATCGTATTCGTTTCATTGCAATGATTACAATCACCTGCATGCTTCATCATTCAACAGTATTTGCTTCTATTCCCTCTGTTTTGTTTTGGATGTGCACCAAAACACTCAGGAATATACAATCATTCAAACAGCCAAAGGGCATACCCTGAAAGTCTGCCACCAACACACATCCTCTTTCCCTTCATGAGTCAAGAACTTTCTTCTATTCCTTTAGATGCTCCAGGCTGATCTGCTTGTCTTTTCAAGTGGGAATTTCCCATCTCAGAAGGGTCTGGATGGGGAACAGGATTCTACCTAAGGTCTTATAACCTACAAAGGCTCTGCAAGAAGCCTCTTTCACTGGGCAAGTTCTAGCACCCCTTTTAGGTATTCCAAGCAATTATAGGCTGAAGGTGGGCTTACAAGCTTTCTATAATGATATTTCCAGATATTCCTTTCTATCCTCCACAAGTGTCTATTTTACAGTAGGCAAGGGAAACAAATATTCATAAGAAAGTCCAACATCTTAACATTATTTCCCCTCTCTTATCCATTCAGGCTATGCCTCAATCCCAGGGCTTCCTTTTAAAAACACTTCTGCCAGGTCTAAGCCAGATGCCATTTATCCCTCGTGGTAAACTGAAGTGGTGAGTATTGGGAAGCCCATTTCACAGCTGAAAAAAACAGGTTGGGAGAGGAGAAGTTGTTACCTGCTGAGGTGGGGGTGGCAGTAGAACGTGGTGGTCCAGAGCTGAGACTCAGAGCCAGGCTGCCTGCCTTTGAATCTGGCTACTTTCTATTGTGTAAGCTCCCCTAAATGACTTTAATCTTCTTGTGCCTCAGTTTCCCCATGTGCAAAGTGGTAATGATAATAGTCAAGTAGTCATCGGGATGATGTAGGGATGTAAGAAGAGTCGAACTCAGGTCTGTTCTTGATATAAGGCAACATACTTCTACATGGGTGCCACTGGCAGTTCCATTCTGCAGTGAAAGGAAGCAGGGCTAGAGAGGGACAGCCCTTTGCCCAGGGTCACTAAGTGTTGGGGCAGAAGGCTTTCTTGGGACTTCTGCCCTACCCAAGCCCCTCTTCCCAATGCTGCCTAGCACATCGTGATGAACACAGAGCCCTGGGTCCAAGCTCCAGGAACACCAGTTTGTCCTTTCTCTTGTCTTTCTACTTTAGAAGATTAAACAAATAAAAGTAACTATTTGCTAGTTGTAACAAGTTGAAGCAATACAAAATTGATATAAAATGTTAATTATTTGTGCACTACCCCTTTAGCCTCACCCACTGGAGACAACCAGGTGAGAATTATGTGGTATGTTTTCTATACTCATATTTGTGAAACCATGGAATGGCGCACCAGGCATCCCTAGGCAGTTTCCATAAACATCTCAGCACATGTTCTTAACAAGCCTGTGAGGTAGAAATTATTATTAATCCCCTTTCACCGTCAAGGAAACGGAGACCAAGAGGAGTTTTTTTTTTTTTTTTGCATGTGCCAGAATTTTATTCAGTCTCCAAAGAGAGAGACTCATGATACAACTCCATTCTGTACATTGAATCTGGCCTCATTAACATCATATTGTTGTGGTTAGGTGCCATCTAGTCAGTAGCGACTCACAGTGACCCGATGTATGTACAACAGAATGAAACACTGCCCCATGCTGCGCCAAACTCACAATCCTTGCTATCTATGATTGAGCCCACTGATGCTGCCATTTGGCCAATCTATCCCAAGAGGAGTTTTTAAACAAGAGAAGGATAAGGAGGAATCAGGATTTGGCTTGAGATTTAACTCTACACCAGATCCTGCTTCCTACAAACCTTTATATAAGGATTTATCTTTTAAGAAGCAATCAGAACCATGCACTGCAATTTCTGTTTTTGTCACCTCATATTTGATGGACAGCTCTCTTGCTCAATATACCTCACTTAACTGACTATTCAGAATAGTTGCATAGTATTTTGGAGGCTTTTCAGTTTGTTTTCTCTTATGCATAACAAATTATTCCTGGACATACAGCCTACGTACTAGAACACTTATGAATTATGGATATAGACTTGCTGTGTCCAAGACTGTATACATTTAAAGTGATAGATACAAAAACAAGTCCACGCCATTGAGTTGATGCCAACTGTTAGTAACCAGACAGAGTAGAACTGCCCCATAGGTTTACCAAGGCTGTCATCTCCACAGAAGCAGACTGTCACATCTTTCTCCTGTGGAGCGACTTGGTGGGTTCCAACCGCTGACCTTTTGGTTAGCAGCTGAGCACCTAACTGCTGTGCTACCAGGGCTTAAACATTACCAGGTTGCTTCCCCTAAAAAACTGTTCGCAATTCACATTTCCACCAGTCTTGTATCTGAAGACGTTCTGTCCTTTTCCAAGCAGAAAATGGTCAATCTCAAATCCGCGGTATTGTTGCGTTAATTCTGACTCATATTGTCCCTATGGGACATGTAGAACTGCTTCATAGGGTTTCTGAGGCTGTAAATCTTTTCAGAAGCAGACTGCCTCATGTTTCCCCCTCATAGTGGTTAGCAGTTCAACACTTACCCTACTGTGCCACTAGGCTCTCTAAGTGGGCGTTATTTTTGTTATGTGCCATCGAGTTGGTTCCGGCTCATAGTGACACTGTATAGGGTTTCTGAGGAGCATCTGGTGTGCTTGAACCGCCAACCTTGCAGTTCAAATGGCTTTGCAGTCTGGTGCAGTAACGCACAGCGCCACACCAGGACTCGTAGTGTTGTTAGCACTTCTTAATTGTATGGGTAGACAGTGATATCTCCCTGTAATTTTAATTAATTTTTTTATGACCACTCAGGGGATTGAGTATTTTCTTATGCATGTTGCCCATTTGGATTTGCTTGCCTGTCTGTTCCTGTCCATTGCCCACTGGGGTGTTCACCCTTTCATTACCAATTTGCAAATAAAGAAGAAAATCCCATAACTGGGATGGCTAAGTTGCTGGGCATGCATGTTAAAACACCTTATATTTTCCCAGTTGTTTTAAAAAGTATTAAAGAATAACACACTGATAAAAACATTCACAAATCCACACTTGCGGATAATACCCACTTGACCTGGCTTGAATGACTAGATGATCAGAACTTGACTAGAAGAAGAAAGAAGAGGAAAAAAAAGAGTAGTCTGATACAATTTGATGAACTTGACCTACACCTATGGATGCAGTAGCTCAAAAGAGGGAACAAATCTTTACAGCGAGGATCATTCCCACCACCCCCTCGGTACACAGTGTAGACAGGGATGGGCAACTTGGATGTTGGCTACCCAAATTGGGGGGATGGCTACAAATGCAAGAAGTGACTGGCTTACAAGCTTTCAAGAGGGAGCCTAGATCCATAGGGTGTGTAGGAAGGTAGAATCTCCACTGAGCAGTAACCAATCTGTCTGGGTAGGGCTGATGAAAGGAGATGGGGATCGGACTCTTGTGGTACAATAGTGAATAATTGCTTTCAGGACTGACTGTGAGGGTTGGAAACATTTTGTAGCAAAAGGAGGGGAGTGGTTTACTTTGCACTCAGGAGTGGAGGTCCCTGGAACCATCAAGGGAGAAGAGTAGAGCGCAGGACGCCAGAGATGGAGGCAGAGACAATGATGTGGAGAGATGGAGCGGCTGGGGATTCTAGACCCAGAGAGGGAGAGGGGCTGTGTGCTAACAGCCGGGGTGGGGTGGGGGTGGGGGGGCGGCAGGCTTGCAGGGTAAACCTTTTGGTTGGTTGAGGATGTAATGGAGGGATTGTAACCATGGCAATGAAACAATATACGATAGGATGAATGTAAAACTAATGTTCTCCCATGTAAACTATCACATAATTCACAATAAAACATTAAAAAAAAAAAGATTCATAATTGGTAAACGGAGAATTTCTTAATTTTTCTTCTTAAACTTTTATTGTGAATTGAGTGACGGTTTCCAGAGCAGATCATCAGTTAACTTTCAACAAGGCATACACTTCCTTTCATCTCAATGATTGCAATCTCCTCCATGAAATAACAATTACCACACTTCCTTCCTGTGGTTCTTGCTTCCATTCTTCCTCCTTCCCAACCCTTCTGAACTTGGGTAAATGCCACCCTTTTGATCTTGAATGGTTACCTACTATTTGAGTGAAAAGTGAGCCACTTTTACAAAGTGAATACATTGAGCCCTCAGAGCACAAAATCGAGCCACACTTTAGATTGTAATAGATCTTCCCAAATACCATTCCAAAAAGGTTTTAGTATTTATTCTCCCCACAATGTAATCAGTTTTGAAATGCTTCACCAGGCTAAGGGATGCCACGGAACAGTGGAAATATGGAATTAAAAGAGAAAAGAGTTTTCCCACGAACTTTCACAAGTTGACTAATAATCTCATCGGACTCCTGATGTGGGGCTGTACTGGACTGTGAGCCACAAGGTTGGCGGTTCAAATCCACCAGCTGCTCTTTGAAAAACCCTGTATGTCAGTTGCTATGAGTTGGAACTGACTGGATGGGACGTAACAACAGCAAGTATTTCATTTAGTTGTTACTAAGTGTGACACTGTAGG